CTCTACAAAAGATAAAAAATAAAAAAATTACCTGGGCTTGGTGACTTGCTTCTATCGTCTTCACTACCTGGGAGGCTGAGGTGAGAAGATTGCTTGAGCCAGGGAGGTCAAGTCTTCAGTGAGCTGTAATTGCACCATTGTACTCCAGCCTGGGCAACAAAGTAAGACACTGTCTCAAAAATGAAATAAAATTTAAAAAATAACAATACATACAAAATGAGGTGTCTTAAAATAAATGGCATCTTAGTTTCTATCAGTATTTGCACTCTTCCTCTTTAAATACACATATGTGAGCCTAACTTTGAACTACAATCAAGTTTGCAGTGATTATATTATGTTATAGTGAATAATACTACATATTCATTATGCTAGCTGAAATTCCACCACCACTGAGTTAAAGTTTTTCTTAATTGGATTTGAAGCACCTCATGACCTTGTATTTAAGAGATACAACCTATATGTGTGTAGGATCATTGATTGGACAATTTCTATTCAGAGCTAGTTATATAGATACATAAACTTTATTTATTTATTTACTTACTTACTCCTTTAGAGATGAAGTCTCACTCTGTCACCAGGCTGCAGTGCAGTGGCATGATCTCAGTCCACTGCAACCTCTGCTTCATTTAAGCAATTCTCCTGCCTCAGCCTTCCGAGTAGCCAGGATTACAGGCGCCCTCCTACCTGGCTACTTTTGTATTTTTAGTAGAGATGGGGTTTCACTATGTTGGCCAGGCTGGTCTCCAACTCCTGACTTCAAGTGATCCATCTGCCTCAGTCTCCCAAAGTGTTGGGATTACAGGCGTGAGCCACCACGCCCAGCCTAAACTTTCTTTCTTTTTTTTTTTTAAACGTGGCTAGTTGCTAAGGGTAGGACCCAACCCTGGTACTGTCTATCCCATCCTTGCTCTTTTTTTTTTTTTAGAGGGAAAAAGAAAAAGAAGGGTAAAAAAAGAAAAAGAGGGAAAAAGGAATATTATTTCATTCCTAAAATGGGTTTCAATAATAGCCGATCAATATTTTGAGTGTTTAAAGTGGTTAATGCATATTTTGTGTGTTTAAAATGGAGACCTCTATTGTGTTTATTTGTTCTGGCTCTGAGTTCAAGTCCTGGATATCGTTATCAATTTTTTGTCTCGTTGAATCTAAATCTCATTATGTGTCTTCTGTATCTGGATGTTAAGATCTCTTATTGTTACATTAATCCTTTTACCCTTGCATCCTTGTAGCTTTGAAATCTATTTTATTAAGTGTGAGAATTGCAACTCCTGCTTTTTATTTATTTATTTTTGCTCTCCATTTGGTTGGTGAGTTTTTTTCCATCCCCTTGTTTTGAGTCTTTGTATATCTTTAGATATATCGTTAGATTTTGTGGATAATGTATATTTTGTGTGTTTAAAATGGAGAGTTCTATTGAGTTTATTTGTTCTAGATCTTAGTTCCAGTCCTGGATATCGTTATCAATTTTCTGTCTCATTGAATCTAAATCTCATTATGGGTCTTATGTATCTGGGTGTTAAGATCTCTTATTATTACATTAATCCTTTTACCCTTGTATCCTTGTAGCTTTGAGATCTATTTTGTCAAATGTGAAAATTGCAACTCCTGCTTTTTATTTATTTATTTTTGCTCTCCATTTGGTTGGTACTTTTTTTTTTCCAACCCTTTATTTTGAGTCTATGTATATCTTTGGATATACCGTTAGATTTTGTCTGTATCTTTTGATTGGGAGATTTGGTCGGTTTAAATTTAGGGTTGCTGCCATTTGATATTAACTGGCTATTTTGTCCTTTCGTTGATAAAAATTCTTCTTTATGTTAATGCTCTTTACTTTTTGGTGTATTTTTAGAAAGGGTCATACTGGTTGTTCCTTTCTGTGTATAATGCTTCTTTTAGAAGTTCTTGTAAAGCAGGCCTGGTGGTAATAAAATCTCTGAGTACTTGCTTGTTCCTAAAAGATTTTATTTTTCCTTCAAATGTAAAGCTTAAATTGGCAGGATATGAAATTCTGGGCTGAAAGTTCTGTTGATTAAGTATATTGAATATTGGCCCCCACTCTCTTCTAGCTTGTAGGGTTTCCGTTGAGAGATCTGCTGTAAGCCTAATAGGCTTACCTTTATGGGTAACTTGATCTTTCTCTCTGGCTGCCCTTAATATTTTCTCCTTCGTTTCGATCTTGGTGAAACTAACGATTATGTGCCTTGGGGTTGGTCTTCTTGAGGAATATCTTTGTGGTGTTCTCTGTATTGCCTGGGGTTGAATAGTGTCCTGCTTTGCTAAATTAGGAAAATTTTCCTGAATAATGTCCTGGAGAGTATTTTCCAGCTTGAATTCATTCTCTCCGTCACATTCAGGTACACCAATCAAGCGTATATTAGGTCTTTTTTTTTTTTATTTTTTATTGGATTTTAGGTTTTGGGGTACATGAGCAGAGCATGCAAGACAGTTGCGTAGGAACACACATGGCAGTGTGCTTTTCTTTCCTTCTCCCCTTCACCCACATTTGGCATTTCTCCCCAGGCTATCCCTCCCCACCTCCCCCTCCCACTGGCCCTCCCCTTTTCCCCCCAATAGACCCCAGTGTTTAGTACTCCCCTTTCTGTGTCCATGTGTTCTCATTTTTCATCACCCGCCTATGAGTGAGAATATGCGGTGTTTCATTTTCTGTTCTTGTGTCAGTTTGCTGAGGATGACGTTCTCCAGATTCATCCATGTCCCTACAAACGACACAAACTCATCATTTCTGATTGCTGCATAATATTCCATGGTGTATATGTGCCACATTTTTCCAATCCAGTCTATTATCAATGGGCATTTTGGTTGATTCCAGGTCTTTGCTATTGTAAACAGTGCTGCAATGAACATTCGTGTACATGTGTCCTTATAGTAGAACGATTTATAGTCTTTTGGATATATACCCAGTAATGGGATTGCTGGGTCAAATGGAATTTCTATTTCTAAGGCCTTGAGGAATCGCCACACTGTCTTCCACAATGGTTGAACTAATTTACACTCCCACCAACAGTGTAAAAGTGTTCCTTTTTCTCCACATCCTCTTCAGCATCTGTTGTCTCCAGATTTTTTAATGATCACCATTCTAACTGGCGTGAGATGGTATCTCACTGTGGTTTTGATTTGCATCTCTCTGATGACCAGTGACGATGAGCATTTTTTCATATGATTATTGGCCTCATATAATATTAGGTCTTTTCACATAGTCCCATATTGCTTGGAGACTTTGCTCATTCCTTTTTATCCTTTTTTCTCTATTCTTGTCTTGTCGTTTTGTTTCATTAAGTTGGTCTTCGACCTCTGATACCCTTTCTTCTGCTTGATCCATTCGGCTGTTTAAGCTTGTACATATTTCACTAAGTTCTCATGTTGTATTTTTCAACTCCATAAGTTCATTTGTATTCCTCTCTATATTGTCTATTCTTTTCAACATTTCATCGAACCTTTTTTCCAAGTTCTTAGTTTCTTTACATTGGGTTAGAACAAGTTCCTTTAACTCCCAGAAGTTTCTTATCATCCACCTTTTAAAGCCTACTTCAGATAATGGAACACAGTCCTTTTCCATCAGGGCTTGTTCCGTTACTGATGAGTCCTTTTCCCATCAGGGCTTGTTCGGTTGCTGATGAGTCCTTTTCCATCAGGGCTTATTCCGTTGCTGATGGGTTCTGATTTTGAGTATACTCGGCCTTCTTAGGCTGTTTTTTTCCCTTCATTGTAGATGAACCGCCTTTCTAATTAGGTTTCTGAGTCTACATCAGACTTATTGATTCCCAGTGCTGGGATCCGAGCAACCCACTGTGGCAGCCTAAATAGCAGCGATAAGACTGATGGTGCTCTTCTGCCTGGGATTCTCTGGTCTGGCTTCCCTCTTGAGTCCACAACAAGCGGCTCTGACTTCCCGGAGCTCCAAACTCCGGTCAGTAGGGGAAGCAGTCCCGTTGGCTCTGCGTGAAGAGCTGCTGCGCCGAGATGCCAGGCAAAACCGCTGCGGCGGCCACAAGAGTCGCGCTGGCGACCCGTGGGGCTCCTCCAGTGGGAATCAGCTAATCGGTGAGTGATGAAAATTCGTCTAAAGACTTGGCGTCGTCTCCGTCTCTGAGCTTTCACTGGGAGCTACAATCCTGAGCTGTTAGTGGTCGGCCATCTTGGATCGATCCCTAAACTTTCTATTATAGAAAATTGTAGATGCATCCAAAAGCAGAGAAGATACGATGCATCACTCAGCTCCCAGTGAATTATCTTTAAGCAAATCGCAAAAAGATGAGGACTCTAAAACATAGCCATAATTCCTTTGTCATACCTAAGATAATTTAACAGTAGTAATTTCTTATTGTCATCAAATATCTGGGAGTCAAACTTTAAAAGATAGCCCAGGCCAGGCACAGTGGCTCACGCCTATAATCCCAGCACTTTGGAACGCCAAGGAAGGCAGATCACCTGAGGTCAGGAATTTGAGACCAGCCTGGCCAATACGATGAAACTATATCTCTACTAAAAATACAAAACGTTAGCTAGGCATGCTGGTGGTGGCATGCCTCTATAATCACAGCTACTTGGGAGGCTGAGACTGGAGAAGCGCTTGAACCTGGGAGGGAGAGGTTGCAGTGAGCCAAGATTGCACCATTACACTCCAGCCTGGGCAACAAAAGCAAAGCTCTGTCTCTCAAAAAAAAAAAAAAAGAAAGAAAAAAGCCCAAGTAATCAGTTATATTGTAATTTGATTATTCTATGTATTAACATATCCAGAGTCCAGGTGTGGTGGTTCATGCCGATAATCTCAGCACTTTGGGAGGCTAAAGCAGGAGGATCGCTTGAGCCCAGGAGTTCAAGGCTGCAGTGAACTATGATGGTACCACTGCACTCCATCCTGGGTGATAGAGCAAGATACTGTCTCTCAATACAGTCTTACTTTTACCATTTGTTATTACTATAAATTAGCTAATTCAAATTTTCATAATATTATATTAATAGTTTTTGCTGTTTTGCAGAGTAAGCCATATCAAAGACTTCATTGAAAAATACCAAGGATCTCAAAGAAGTCCTCCATTTTTCCTGGCAACAGCTCTTCCTGTCCTCAGATTGCTAGATGAGACACTCACACTGGAAGAAGCAGACTTACAGAATGCTGTCATCATTCAGAGACTCCAAAAAACTGCTGCACCTTTTAGAGAACTTTCAGAACATTGATTTTTGATAGACTAAGTGGAGAATTTGTGGAGAAATGATGGTTGTAAGTAGACATGCAAACCAAAATTGGGGACTGGAGAAGTCAGACTCACTAGACTTTTGATTCGAGTACTATTAAACTCTCTCCTGTTGAGATGTTAGAGAAGTACAAGTTAGGAAAGTAGCATATGACTGGAAAATATATTCAGTGCACTTTTTCCAAAAGGCTACTCAGAAAAATATACTTATTTTCAAATACCAATTATCAAGATATATTAAATAGCCGTATTATTCAGAATCTTAATATGGTATAAATTAGCAAGTGTGTTTACAATATTATTCAAACATCATTCCCAAACAGTAGGGATTTATTTAAATGTTAGCTGTCTCAGAGTTTTTAAATAGCTAATATGGCCAGGCACAGTGGCTCACACCTATAATTCTAGCACTTTGGGAGGCCAAGGCAGGCAGATCATGAGATAAACCATCAAAACCATCCTGGCCAACATGGTGAAACCCCGTCTCTACCAAAAATACAAAAAGTAGCTGGGCATGGTGGCACACGCCTGTAATCCCAGCTACTCGGGAGGCTAACGCAGGAAAATTGCTTGAAGCCAGGAGGTGGAGATTAACGGAGTGAGTCGAGATCTGCCACTGCACTCCATCCTGGCAACAGAGCAAGACTCCATCTCAAAACAATGAAAATTCAGAAATTTAAAATTAAAATAAAAAATAAATAGCTAAAACATTGAAAAATTATACATGGCAGGTTAAAAGTATCAATGTAATTATTTTGCTGCTTAGGTGCAAAGCTGGAGACACCTGTTTTTACCACAGCTATGGCTAAACATCTAAGTGTCTTTGGTTTTTATTCTGTAATGGCAACATATACTCAAATATTAATTTGGCAACAATATCAAAGATATATTTTCTTTTAAGAAATAAATTATGGGCTGAGCACAGTGGCTCACATCTGTAATCCAAACACTACAGGACGCCAAAGTGGGCAGCTCACCTGAGGTCAGAAGTTCAAGACCAGCCTGACCAACATGGTGAAACCCCATCTCTACTAAACGTACTTTAAAAATTAGCCAGGCATGGTGGTGTGTGTCTGTAAGCCCAGCTACTCAGGAGCTGAGGCAGGAAAATTGCTTGAACCCGGGAGACAGAGGTTGCAGTGAGCCGAGATTGCACCACTGCACTCCAGCCTGGGAGACAAGAGTGAAATTCCATCTCAAAAAAAGAAAAAAAATAAAATTGTGTCTGAGCCCGATGGATCATCCCAACACTTTGAGAGGCCAGGATGGGAGTATCATTTGAGGCCAACAGTTTAAAAGCAGAATGGTCAACATAGTGAGACCCCCTATTTTTTTTTTTCCCTTTGGAAACAGAGTCTTACTCTATCACCAGGCTGGAGTGTAGTGGCATGATCTTGGATCACTGCAACCTCTGCCTTCCGAGTTCAAGCAGTTCCCCTGCCTCAGTCCCCAGTAGCTGGGACTATAGGTGCATGCCACCATACCCAGCTAATTTTTTTGTATTTTAGTAGAGATGGGGTTTCACCATGTTGGCCAGGATGGACTCAATCTCCTGACCTCGTGATCCACCTGCCTCGGCTTCCCAATATGCAGGCATGATCCACAGCACCCAGCCCTTCTATCTTTTTTTAATTAAAAAAATAAAAGAATAAAATTGTGTAGCTTAGTATAGTGTCAATATTAATCTGTCTACTCACATTTCTACACTCTAAAAATGTAATTAAAAGAAGGTTATCTCTCTATAAACCCAATTTCTTTCTATTTTCTTTGAAAAAACTATGGATTTGTTTTTGGCTAACGCTTGGGATTAGCCATTTATTTGCCACCACTCACTTAGAATCTAATGCCTGTGTAGTGTCACATTACTAATGTTTTTTAAATACATCACATAAAGTATGGTTTTCTGTTTCATACATCAGAGTCAACTTGTGTATACATTTAAAGATTATTTCATTTTGATGTCATGAAGAAAAACATGCTTTATGTCTTAGACTTTTAACTTTTAAATCTAAAACTTTTAGACCTCAGTTTTTCACTGTCAGATTAAATCTCCATACCTGAAAATAAGTTTAAGATGCTTTTTTGCAAATCATCTATTGAATCAGATTTAAAATGAAGTATGCATTGAGTGTGCCAAGGAACTAAGTGGCCCATAGCAGTAGTAATATTCATAGGGTGCAAGATGCAGCTTATAAAGCAGCAGTTCTCAAACATTTTGATCTCAAGACCATTTATTTGTGTGAGCTATATATATTATTATTATATTAAACATTAAAACTTTTAAATATTTATCTATTTATTTAAAAATAATAGCTTCTGGCTGGACATGGTAGCTCACACCTGTAATCCCAGCACTTTGGGAGGCCAATACAGGTGGATCACTTGAGCCCAGGAGTTCAAGACCAGCCTGGGCAACAAGGCGAAACCCCATCTATAAAAATTACAGAAATTGATCAAGACCATCCTGGTCAACATGGTGAAACCCCGTCTCTACTAAAAATACAAAAATTAGCTGGTCATGGTGGTGCGTGCCTGTAATCCCAGCTACTCAGGAGGCTGAGGCAGGAGAATTGCCTGAACCCAGGAGGCGGAGGTTGCAGTGAGCCAAGATCATGCCATTGCACTCCAGCCTGGGTAACAAGAGCGAAACTCCATCTCAAAAAAAAAAAAAAATTACAGAAATTAGCTGGGTTCGGTGGCTCACACATGTAATCCCAGCACTTTGGGAGGCCAAGGCAGGCAGATCACCTGAGGTCAGGAGTTTGAGACCAGGCTGGTCAACATGGTGAAACCACATCTCTACTAAAATACAGAAATTATCCTGGTGTGGTGGTGCACACCTGTAATCCCAGCTACTTGGGAGGCTAAGGGAGGAGAATTGCTTCAACTTGTGAGGCAGAGGTTGCAGTAAGCCGAGATGGTGCCACTGCACTCTAGCCTGGGCGACAGAGCGATACTCTGAAAAAAAAAAAAAAAAATTAGCTGGGCATGGTGGTGCATGCCTGTAGATCTACTGGGGAAGCTGAGGTGGGAAGATTGATGTAGCCTGGAAGGCAGAGGTTGCAGCGAGCCAAGATTGTGTCACTGCACTCTAGTTTGGGCGGCGGAGTGAGACCCTGCCTCAATAATAATAATAACAATAGGCCGGGCACAATGGCTCATGCCTGTAATCCCAGCACTTTGGGAGGCCGAGGTGGGCAGATCACCTGAGATCAGGAGTTCAAGACCAGGCTGGCTAACATGGTGAAACCCCATTTCTACTAAAATTACAGAAAATTAGTCGGGTGTTTTGGCACACGCCTGTAATCCCAGCTACTCAGGAGGCTGAGGCAGGTGAATAGCTTGAACCTGGGAGGCGGAGGTCACAGTGAGCCGAGATTGCATCATTGCACTTAAGCTTGGGTGACGAGAGCGAAACTCTAGCTCAAAAACAATAAATAAATACATGCATACAAACTTTTTTGAGACAGTTTTGCCCTTTCACCTAGGCTGGAGTGCAGTGGCACCATCTTGGGTCACTGCAACCTCTGCCTCCCAGGTTTAAGCGATTCTCCTGCCTTAACCTCCCAAGTAGCTGGGATTATAGGCACCTGCCACCATGCCTGACCAATTTTTCTATTTTTAGTAGAGGTGGGTTTCACCATGTTGGCCAGGCTGGTCTTGAACTCCTGACCTCAGGTTATCTGCCAGCCTCGGCCTTCCGAAGTGCTGGGATTACAGGCATGAGCTATTGTGCCCAGCCAGTTATAACTTCTAAAACATAGTATGATTTAGTGAGGAAAGCAGTGGGCTTTTTTTGTGAGTTACTTTCTGTCTTAAAAAAGATAGATGGGTTCTCGTATCTTCTAGATTCAATCTGTTATGCAGTCACATATCATGTAGACTCTGGAAAACACCACTGTACACTTGTGAGAGAATTAAAAAGAAGCAAATAACACCTTAGTATGATTATGAAAAACATTTTGACTTCACAGCTCCCTGAATGGGTCTCGGGAACCTCTAGGGATCCCTCAGGTACGCTTTGAGAGCCAATCTATATACAGTGATGGTTCACAATGATTCTCAAGCCTTAGTTTAAGAATCATTTGGTTAGCTTTTCAAAATGCCTATTCTGCCACCTACCAAAAAGATTCTGATACACTGTATCCGGGATGGGTCTCAGATCTCTGCATTTTTACTCTCAAGTGATTCTTAAGTATGTGGTAAAGTACCATTCTAAAGGAAATCCTGTGCTAAGCATCTACCCTAAGAAAAGAAAACCTGCATGCTTTTACTATGGACAGTGGAAGACTCCGCTGAAACCAGTTTGCTAGACCACTAAGTTTATCCTTGTCACCCAGTTTACTCTTGGAAAGAGTCTGCTCCCTTTTATCGCTGAACCAATCATGACATAAACCTGTGCTTTATCACCTGTAGCACAGCCAAGACAAGGCTGGAACATTTAATTAAGGTTTTTACTAAGGACTCGGGAAAAACAACAGGGAAATATCTATGTAACTAGGTGACCTGACATAAAATCTATCTTCTGATTGTAGTCTATTGTAAGAAAGCTGCTTTTCCTAGCTCCCAGCCTTCCATGGGACAGAGGTCTTGTCTTTTTATTAGGAAGAGAGGGAGGATAAAGGAGAGTTTTTTCCTTTTGTCCTTTACCCTTAGAAATGAACAGGTATATAATAGACAATAAATATTTATTGTTGGTAGTGTTTACACAGCTGTGTTAGAGTGTCTCTTTAGTGAAACAAAAATAATGTTAATTCTTACCAAAAAAAAATGAGGCAGTGGTAAAATCAATGAACTTATCTTTCTGATATAGAAAATAACAGGATGATTGTCAATACATGTTCAGGAATCTAAGAAAATGTTTCATTTAGGCCTATCATGTAGCATTTTTATTTGCATAATTATAGTCAACATATGACTCTCCATATAGGAGTTTCTGATTGAGAATGTTTCTTGTGTATTTATAGAAAGCCTCTTTGGTAGATTTTCCGGTTTATAATTATTTAACCAGAAGACACACAGGAGGTTCTATTGTATGTACCTGTCAAATACACCCCAGTAAGGGTCCTATGGAGAAAGACCTGTCATCAGCAATAACCTTCATTATTCTAACTGTGAAATGTTCATTAATGTGAATAATATTCTCAAAGGTTTTCTACAATGAGAATCATCCAGTGAAGCTTTTTACCTGAAAATTTAAAAGTTGTAAAGTTGTTAGTTAAATGTGTGGAATTATCAAAAGATGTTGACTTTGGGAAACAAACTGAATTTGCTAAGGGAAGGAAAACTTGAAAATAAGCATCTCAGATATGGAATACAATTTGACCTAAGCAATTATTTAAAAACTGTCTTCAGTTTCTTGAAAATAATTGTTAGGGCTGATATATAGAAATACACATCTAGGCCAGGTGCAGTGGCTCACACCTATAATCCCAGCACTTTGGGAAGCCAAGGCAGGCGGATCACGAGGTCAAGAGATCAAGACCATACTAGCCAACATGATGAAACCCCATCTCTACTAAAAATGCAAAAATTAGTTGGGCATGGTGGCACATTTCTATAGTCCCAGCTACTTAGGAGGCTGAGGCAGGAGCTTGAACCCAGGAGGTGGAGGTTGCAGTGAGCCAAGATCGCACCACTGCACTCCAGCCTGGTGACCGAGCAAGACTCCATCCCAGAAAAAAGAAATACATATCTAATGTTACAGATTCTGGTTTATTAGTTAATTACTATGCACTTGTTCTGTTAAAAAAAAAAACCTTATTTTGTATACTTCTCTCAGTATACTTTTTCATGACATTTCAGTGTATTGATAATATTGTATGCATCTACTTCAGTGCCTTAAAGTATTTTGAGAGCAATCTTTTGCTAACAGTTAAAGAACCGTTAAGAATGAAATACTGTTCATTAAAAGGATTATTGAAATCATTTACACTTGTTATAAAATAGTTATTTGCAAATACATGTGTCATTTTGTTTGGCGTAGTCATTTAGTTTGATAATCAACAAATGTTTATTAGGTGCCTTTGCTTTAACCAACATTACTTTCATTCAATACTCAGAAATGTAAAGACATGATTTTAAAAAAAATACTAATTCAATGGTGTGTTTAATTTTTTGACCATTCCTGTGTTATGAATTGAACTGGCATGAAGACTCTTTAGTAGGGTTTACTCCTTTGTTCTATCTTTTCCTAAGTACAAACCATTTAATGAAAAAATTACTCATTGCACTAAATCCTCAAATGGAAATGGCTTATTCAGTAGACTAATATTTGGCTCTTTGTCATTTGTTTTAATGTATATTTTACACAGATAATTCATATTCATTACAGAAAATTATAATATGCAGGTATGCTAAAATGATCTTTAAATCACCTATTATTCTGCCTTTCAAAGATAACCACTGCTGGTCCTAGTGATGCATGCCTGTTGTCCCAGCTACTCAGGAGACTGAGGCAGGAGGATTGCTTAAGCCCAGGAGTTCTGGGGTGTAGTGTGCTCTGCCGGTCAGTCGGATGTCTGCACTAAGTTTGGCATCAATTTGGTAATCTCCCTGGAACGGGGGACTACCAGGTTGCCCACTGGAAAAGGAGCAAGTCAGAATGAATGCTGATCAGTAGTGGTATTACACCTGTGATTAGTCACTGCATTCCAGCATGAACAGTATAGGGAGAACTTGTCTCTTTCAAAAAGTTAAAAAAAAAAAAAAAAAAAGACCAAGCATAGTGGCTCATGCCTGTAATCCCAGCACTTTGGGAAGCCAAGGCAGGCTGATCACAAGGTCAGGAATTCGAGACCAGCCTGGCCAACATGGTGAAACCCCATTTCTTTTTTATTTATTACTTTTTTTTTTTTTTAAAGTCTTGAACTCCCAACCTCAGGTGATCCGCCTGCCTTGGCCTCCGAAGTGCTTGGATTACAGGCGTGAGGCACCACGTCCAGCTGATGCTGAAACCCCATTTCTACTAAAAATACAAAAATTAGCCAGTCGTGGTGCCATGTGCCTGTAATTCCAGCTACTGGGGAGGCTGAGGCAGGAGAATCACTTGAACTCAGGAGGCGGAGGTTGTATTGAGCCAAGATTGTGCCACTGCACTCCAGCCTGGGCGACAGAGCAAGACTCCATCTCGAGCAAAAAAAAGTTAAAAAAAATTAGAAATTAAAAACGTAACTAGTAACATTTTGGTGTGCATCCTTTCAGATATTTTTTAGTGTATTTAGTCTTGTTTTAATTAAAAGGCAGCTGCCTTCATTATTTTAATCTTACTTTATCTATTGAAATCTAATTTATGTGTCTTTTGCATTTCATTAGGAACTTACCGTCACTTTATTTTATTTTTTTGAGATGAAGTCTTGTGCTTGTCCCCTAGGCTGGAGTGCAGTGGTGCGATCTCAGCTCACTGCAACCTCCACCTCCTAGGTTCAAGCCATTCTCCTGCCTCAGCCTTCCAAAGAGCTGGGATTACAGGCACCTGCCACCATGCACACCTAATTTTTGCATTTTTAATAGAGACAAGGTTTCACCATGTTGGCCAGGCTGGTCTTGAAATCCTGACCTCAGGTGATCCACCTGCCTTGGCCTCCTAAAGTGCTGGGATTACAGGTGTGAGCCACCACGCTGGCCTTACCGTCACTTTAAATACAATAGTAACTGTTAGATAAATGCCTTTTATTATAATTACATGTTTTGCTATCCAAAAAAAGTTATTTTTAAATTTTTAAACAATTTTTTAAATTGTTTTTACCTGCTGCCTTGCAACTTAAAATTGCAGTAGTATAAACAAAGCACAAGTGTTGAGAATGAAATGTTTCCAAACCTATTGAAAATGCATATAAATAGGATGTACTTGAAAGTAGATTATTTAGCTGAGCATGGTGGCTCACACCTGTAATCCCAACACTTAGGGAGGCAGAGGCAGGAGTGTAGCTTGAGCCCGAGTTTGAGACCAGCCTGGGCAAGATAGCAAGATCCCATTCTCCACAAAAAGGGGAAAAATTTGTAAAAGTAGATTATCTAAAGAAACTCTGGCTTTAGTTTTTAATTTCTAAGGAATTAAATATTTAGCACATGCATTATCTAATCTATCCTTCTGTTGCAATCAAGGAAACAAAAATGTACCCATTTTGTAGATTAAGGAATTAAGACATATAAAATGGAATGACTTGCTCTAAACTGGGTAGTGTATTCTTTAGGATTAGATTTAGCTATGACAGAAAATCCAGAACAGTAGCCACTTACAAGGTCAAATTTTATTTCCCATGCTAAATTCCAAAGGGAAACAGTTCAGGGCTGGTAGGATCAACCTCACAAAATCATCAGATTCCTGTACTGTTGATCTGCCAATCTCAGCAGTCTGTAGACTTGGGGTCTCAAGGTAGCTGCACTAGCACCAGCTGACACATTTGTATTTCAGCCAATAGGAAGGAGCAGATTCCTTCCCTTTTAAATGTTAATGGCTTTATTGAGATATAATTCAGATGCTGAGCAATTCACCCATTTAAAGTATACAATTCAGGCTAGGTTGATGGCTCATGCCTGTAATCCTAGCACTTTGGAATGCCAAGGTGGATCACCTGAGGGTCAGGAGTTCAAGACCAGCCTGGCCAACATGGTGAAAGCCCATCTCTACCAAAAATACAAAAATTAGCTGAGCATGGTGGCGCATGCCTGTAATCCCAGCTACTCTGGAGGCTGAGGCAGGAGAATCACTTGACCCCAGGAGGTGCAGGTTGCAGTGAGCTGAGATTGTGCCATTGCACTCCAGCCTGGGAAACAGAGCAAGAACTCTGTCTCAAAAAAATAAATAAAAATAAAGTATACAATTCAATGGTTTTTAGTGTATTTGTAGGACTGTGTGATCATTACAATTTAATTTTAGAAAAATTTCATCCATTCTAAAAGAAACCATACCCATTAGCAGTCACTCCCTAGCCCAGTCCCAGGCAACTACAAATGTACATTCTCTCTCTCTGTGTCTGCCTATTCTAGACATTTGACATAAATGGAATCATACACTGTGTAGTCTTTTGTGGCTGGCTTCTTTTACTTAGCATACTGTCATCAAGGTTCATCTATGTTGTAGCATGAATTGGTCCTTCATTCCTTTTTCCTGCCCAATAGTAGTCCACTGTATGGATATACTACATATTTATCCATTCATAACCTGATGGACATTGGATTGTGTCCTCTTTTTGGCATATACCCTACAGAAATGAAAACACGTTCACATAAAATCTTGAACATGAATGTTCATTAGTGGCATTCATATATACATATATTCATATGTATTCATATACATTCATATATGTGAATTTTATAAATGAATGAATATATGAATATATACATGAATGAATTTATATTCACTTATGTATTCATATTCATATATATATGAATATGAATGCTGCTAATTAACATTCATGTTCAAGATTTTATATAAACATGTTTCCTTTCTGTAGGATATTGCAGGTCATATGGTAATTACACATTTTACTTTGAGAAACTGCCAAACTTTTCCAAAGGACCCTCACTACTTTCCATTCCCACAAGCTGTGTACAGGGGTTCAGATTTCTCCACAACCTCCCCAACACTTGTTTTTGTCTCGTTTTCATTACAGCCACCCTGTGGATCTAAACCAGTATCTATCTCACTGTAGTTTCAATATTTATTTCCACATGCTTACTGTTCGTTTGTATATCTTTAGTGAAATATCCAAATTCCTTGTCCATTTTAAAACTGGATTGTCTTAATTGTTGAGTTGTGAAAGTTGATTCCAGTACAAATCCCTTTTCTCCCATTCTTTGGGTTGTCTTTATACCCACTTGTTGGAATCATTTACAGCACAAAGGTTTTCATTTTGAAAACTTTTGTAGTTTATCCAGCTTGTGCTTTTGGCATCCTAAGAAACAGTTGCCTGGCCCAATATGATGAAGAGTTGCTCCTGTTTTTTGTTTGTTTGCTTGGTTGGTTGGTTTTGGTTTTTGTTGTTTGCTTTTTTTGAGTCTTCTGTCACACAGGCTGGAGTGCAGTGGTGCGCTCACTGCAACCTCCACCTCCCAGGTTCAAGTGATTCTCCTGCCTCAGCCTCCAGAGTAGCTGGGATTACAGGTGTGAGCCGCCTCCTGTTTTTTCATAAGAGTTTTATATTCTAGTTAATGCATTTTCAGTTAATGTGTGCCCCTGTTACTGGTGGAAGGCATCTGAGTCACATGGCACCAAAATATGTTAGTAAGGGCAAATCTATACAGGTTGCAGCAACCTCAATTCTTACCTCCTCAGAAGAAAGAATTCTACTGAGGGGCATAAGGCATAAAGAGAGACTGAGGCAAGTTTTAGAGCAGAAGTAAAAGTTTATTAAAAAGCTCTACAGCAGAAATGAAAGGAAGGAAAGTATACTTGGAAGAGAGCCAAGCCGGTGACCTTAAAGACAAGTGCCTAGTTTGACCTTTTGACCTGGGGTCTTATACACTGCCATACTTCTGGGGTCTTGCATCCCTTCTGCCCTGATTGTTCCCGTGGGGGGCCTGTCCGCATGGGCAGTGGCCTGCCAACATTTGGGTGGGGAGCATGCACACTGTGTTTACTGGAGTTGTGCCCATGCTCACCAGAGGCATTCTTCCCTTACCATTCCAATGTCCTTGCAAGGTCATATGCCAGTTGAACTCCGAAACTGGCCTCGTAGTATATATGCATGAGCCCACTTGCCCAACTCCTGAGATCTTATCTAGAAGCTGATCAGCAGTTTCAGGTTTTCTCTATCTACTGGGAGGCTGCCTTTCAATTATTTCAATTATTATTTTAAAGGGAACATAACCACCTGATGGTTGCCTAATGTTCCTTGTTGGAAGCGTGGTCCTCTCCTGCCCTGTTCGAGTCTGACTAGCTACGTGCTGTCACCCCTTCCCTTTTAAGGACTTTTCTGGAATATTACCTGTGCCACCCTGCTTGCTTTAGTCGCCAGAACTTAGTTACTGGCCATCCCTGTGATCTGTATAGGAGATTATGTGTATTTCAGGCGTTGGGTGTCATGTGTAGCTGGTGGCATGCCTGTCCAGCCTGAACAAGCAGGACTCTTGCTTCGTTTTGCAGGGAGCTGCTTCTTGTCCGAGGTCATCCCAGGGGTCTGGCGGAGGCCTTTAGTGCGCAGGGCCGCCGTCTGCGGGCGCGTTAATCACGCCTCTCCTGGATCTACCCCAAGGAGAACTGTCCCGATGGCCTGGTGGGCCTTTCCCGCCGCGGAATTTGGCTCTTCGCTGTTTCCCTTTGGGGAAGCGAAAGAAACAGTGCCCCTCGCGGCCTCTGCATTTCTCCCGCGTTGCCGTCGGCTACTCACTCTGCGCGCTGCGGCCCTCGCCCGGAGCCGTCCCTCCCGAGGGCGGTAACTCCGAGGGCAACGGCCACGGGTGGCACTGCGGTGGCGATGGCGGCGACCCCTGCAACGGCAGCCGAAGGACCCCCACAGCCGCAGCCGCACGCCCCGGAGCCCGGCCCGGGGAGCACAAAGCGAGGGGGAGAGGTGAGCTGGGCGGCAGGGGTGACGCGGGGCTCCGCGCGGGCCGGGAAGGGGCTGCGTCCCCGGGGAGCTCGAGGGCATCACCTCGCAGCCCCTTTTCCAACTGGTGACAGCCTGGCGGGGCTCGGTCCAAACCTGCCGGCTCAGGGGTTGCCCTCACGGGGTTCCACGACTGGGAGCGGGGAGGCTGGGGACGTGTTGGCGCCCGCAAGAGACTAGGACAGGCAGGTGAGCCCCAGCCAAGGAAGTAACTTGGGGATTCGTGGACTCTGCTGTCCTGATTCATGGCTTAGGGGTACTGTCCGCGCCACTGGAGGTCCTCCAGGGGTCCCCGAGCCCAGGGCAGCTTTCGGCCGCGCGTGGGGAGGCTGCGTCCTTCCCGACCTCAGGCAGCTGCTGTGGCCTCGGCCTCCCTCCCAGACCCTGTGCTCGCTCAGGCACCAGGCTCCCCTTGGAGGCTGCCCACGGGAAGTCCTGGCCCTGGGCTCCTTCAGGGAGGGCGGAGGGCAGGTGGGAGCGGCCGGGCTCCTTGTCCCTCGCTGATGCGGCCAGGCCAAGCTGGCCAGCCGGGCTGTGCAGGACCGGGCAAGGGGTCTGGGGCTTCCTGGGTCTCACTAAATGCGCCCGCTCCCTGCTCGTGCCCAGGGCGTTCTGTGGCCTCCTCTGACCACCTCACCCCCCCCATTCTGGTTCAGGGCGTCCTGCCAGGCACCACGGAGCACAGGATTACGTCCCACAAGAAAGAAAGTGAGGTGAGATGAGGAGGCTCTCCAGGGACTCTCTCTTCCCGGGAAATTTAGAAATTCGGGGGAGATTAACAGCAACAGGGAAAAATTTGCACTGCCGGAGAAGCTCCGCTATGGAATCCTCATACAATCCTGCGAGGGGTGGGATTCCTGACCACTCCTAGGATACCAAAGCGCAGAAGGCAGGGGCCCTGCTCTGGGTCAAAATTCTCACTGTACAGCTGTGCAGGACTTTTATGACTTTCCATAAAACTGTCATCCTCAAGACGGCAAGACTGGATAATATTCCTGGCTTCCCTTGGACGTTCTTTCTAAAGTTCTAAAATCTTGCTAGGCCCATGTTGGGGATACAAGGGTCTCCATTATGGGGAGAGGAGGACTATCACGCTGAATTCTGCCTGTTCTGAAAGTTTTCTGGCAGTTGAAATGATGTTCACACACGTCCGAAAAGAATCATCCTGCCCCCAGTGTGGTTTTGTCCTGTGGGTAGGAAGAGTGTGCGGAGTGTGATAAATCCATATCTGGGGAGCCGTTGCCTTCACAACAGTCTGCTGGGGTGTCCTGCCAGATGTGGAAATGGGTGAAGCCATGTCATCTCCATTGCCCACAACCCCCTGGCAAAGGATGAGAAAAGGTGCCCAGCATCTTTCAAAGAAACAGCCCTTTACACAGGGTCTTCATGGCCACTATTTGCTTCAACTGACATATATTGAGCACCTACTGTATACCAAGCTTTGTTCTAGGTACTGGAAACACCATGATAAATAAAAGGTAAAGTTCATGCTCTCAGAGAGCTTACATTCCTGTAGGGAGAGGCAGGAGCTAAATGAGAATGTAGCTAAATGAGAATATATACAGGTAAGTACAACTGAGAGAGGTGAGTGGCTAGGGAATGCCTCTGGGAGGAGGTGACATTTAAGCTGGTGACCAACCAGAATAGGAGTCACCTTCCAGACAGAAGTCATGGGAACTGCAAAGGCCCTGGGGCAGCAACCCAGGGCCTATTTGAGGAATAGGAAGGAGGCCACTGTGGCTGACGTAGAGAGGTGAGATGGGTAGGGGGCCAACTGGGTGGGCTCCTTAGTCATGATCAGGAGTTGGAGTTCAAAGTGTGATGGCATTGACTATATACCATGTATCTGGGGGAAAAAACTGCAATGGCAACTTGTTGGAGGGTTTTAATCAGAGAGGAGATGGGATCTGATTTATTTATTTATTTATTTAATTTTTTTGAGCCCGAGTCTCTGTTGCCCAGGCTGCAGTGCAGTGGTGCCATATTGGCTCACTGCAATCTCCACCTGCCGGGTTCAAGTGATTCTCTTGCCTCAGCCTCCTGAGTAGCTGGGATTTCAGGCATGCCACCATGCCTGGCTAATTTTTGTGTTTTAGTAGAGATGGGGTTTTGCCATGTTGGCCAGGCTGGTCTTGAACTCCTGGGCTCAAGAGATCCACCCGCGTCAGCCTCCCAAAGTGCTGGATTTACAGGGGTGAGTGACTGTGCCTGGCTGGGATCCAATTTATGTTATTAGAAGAGCACTGGCTGCTGGGTGGCGTGGATTATAGGGAGCAAGGGCAGACACAGAGAAGCCACTTAGGAGGGACTCACTGATAGACGAGAATTGAAAAGAAGAATCAAAGATGCCTCTTAAGTTTGTGGCCTGAGCCACTGAGGGGACCAACAGAGAGCTGGATTAGACAGTTCCTAATGGCCATCCAGAGTTGTACATTGACCATGCTAAGCTGAGATGCCTGCCAGGCATCCCTGGAGGACTGTGAGTTGGCAGGTGATGGGGAAATGAGCTACCGCTACCACCTCATTTACTCATGGAAACAACCTTGTGAAATCGGCAAGGATGTTGCATTTGACAGATGAGGAAAACAGGCTTGGAGGGGAGAAAGTGATTTATTCAAAGTCACTTAGAGGGATAGGTGACAACGACAGGCTCAAGCCCAGGTCTCCGGACCTGCAGCTTAATGTTTAAAGGTCATGGTTTAGGATCTTTTTCTCTTCTCACTTCCTCTTAGAATGATCTGGGGGCAAAATGGGGCCGAGAGGTTGCTGGAAAAGCCCTGAAAGCATCACCAGAATGCAGGATGCTTACTGAAGTCATAGGGTGTGGGGACCCGTTTGGTGTCTGTTGGGGGAAGAGCTTAGTTCCTGTGTCTCCTCCAGGACAGCAGAGCTGGTCGCCTCTCATTCTGTACAAAGGTGTGCTATGGCATTGGTGGAGTCCCCAACCAGATAGCCTCCAGTGCCACAGCCTTTTACCTGCAGCTCTTCCTGCTTGATATAGCACAGGTAAGTGTGGGCAGCAGCCCAGTCTCTGCTCGAATCTTCCTTGGGGTCTGATCCTTCCACCCACACCTGCACTTCTGCTCCCAACATCCTTGTAGACAGCACTTCTGACTCAAGCTTAACAAAAAGCCAGAAGCTACTGAGGGCAGGCTCCTCAAGGATGTTTACTGCAGCCGGTTTGTAGTGGGAAAATGAGAAACAATGTGGATGCCTGTCTATATAGAAGCAGTTGGCTAAGTAAGCTGTACCATAGCCACATAACCCACCAAGCCAGTCTAGCCCGCAGTGGTATGGCTTTGAATGTGGCCCAACACAAATTTGTAAACTTTCTTAAAACATTATGAAATTTTTTTGTGATTTTTTTTTAGCTCATTAGCTATCATTAATGTTAGTGTATGTTATGTGTTTATATGTGCCCCAGACAATTCTTTTTTTTTTTTTTTTGAGACAAGTCGCCCAGCCTGTTTCCCAGGCTGGAGTGCAGTGGTGTGATCTCGTCTCACTGCAACCTCTGCCTCCCAGGTTCAAGTGATTCTCATGCCTCGGCCTCCTGAGTAGCTGGGATTACAGGCATATACCACCACACTTGGCTGATTTTTGTGTGTTTAGTAGAAACAGGGTTTTGCCATGTTGGCCTGGCTGGTCTCGAACTGCTGATCTCAGATGATCCACCACAGCCTCCCAAAGTGCTGAGATTAAAGGCATGGGCCACCATGCCTGGCCAAAACAATTCTTCCAGTGTGGCCCAGAGAAGGCAAACATTAGACTAACCTCACTATCACATAGACTGTCGTGCAGCAATTCAGAAGAATGATCTGTACCGTTGACTTAGAGTGATTTCCATGATGCTCTGGTGAAAAAAAAAAAAAGCTAGTTTTAGAGAATAGTATATGGAACGATCCCATTTTAGCAAAACAAAGACAGGCTCCATACGTGTGTGTGTATGGATATGTATATATATTCATCGGTCCATGTCTAAAATATGAGCATGGAGAAAATTCTAGAAGGATATACACGAACTCATTAATGTTGGCTACAGGAGGGAATAATGGAGAATGGAGGGTAAGTAAAACCAAATTTTTAAAGTGAGGTATCCAGCTGAGCATGTTGACTCAACAGCTGTTGTCTCAGCACTTTTTGAGGCCAAGACAGGAGGATCACTTGAGGTCAGGAGTTCGAGACCAGCCTGGCCAATATGGCAAAACCCCATCTCTATTATCTAAATATAGAAAAATTAGCCGGGCGTGGTGGCAGGTTCCTGTAGTTCCAGCTACTCCGGAGGCTGAGGCAGGAGAATCACTTGAATCTGGGAGGTGAAGGTTGTAGTGAGCCAAGATCGCGCCACTGCACTCCAGCCTGGGTGACAGAGCAAGGCTCCCTTTCAAAACAAAAAACCAACAACAAATAAATGAGATATCCAGCTGGGGGTGGTGGGCTGACACCTGTAATTCCAGCACTTTGGGAGGTCAAGGCAGAAACCCCACCTCCACAAAAAAAAAATTAATTAAAAATACAAAAATTAGCTGGGTATAGTGGCACATGCCTGTGGTCCCAGCTACTGGGGAGGCTGAGGTGGGAAAATCACCTGAGCCCAAGAAGCAGTAGTTGCAATGAGCCGAGATGGTGCCACTGCACTCCAGCCTGGGCAACAGAGTGAGACCCTGTCTCAATTTTTACTTTTTTTTTTGAGATGGAGTCTTGCTCTGTCACCCAGGCTGGAGTGTAGTGGTGTGATGTCGGCTCACTGCAACATCTGCCTCCTGGGTTCAAGCAATTCTCCTGCCTCAGCCTCCTGAGTAGCTGGGACTACAGGTGCATGCCACCACACCGAGCTAATTTTTTGTATTTTTAGTAGAGACGGGGTTTCACCATGTTAGCCAGGGTGGTCTTGATCTCCTGACCTCGTGATCTGCCCACCTCGGCCTCCCAAACTGCTGGGATTACAGGCATGAGCCAATGAGCCTGGCTGACCCTATCTCAATTTTTAAAAAATAAAATGAGATCTTCATGAATGTTTAAGATGACCCTCTGATATGATCCCGTTTATATAAAGTGATCAATGTCAAGCACACAGGAAGAAGCCTATGAAGGCTGATCATCAAAATGATTCTGGCAGTTGTCTCAGGATGCTGGGATTTCACATGAGCTTTGCTTAGGATTTTCCTGTATTGTTTGAATGTTTTTCTAATGAGTGTATTATTTACATAGTCAGAAAAACCAGTGAATCCTTTCCATTGTGAAACACAACGTCCACCTCTGTCAGCCCAGAGGTACCCTCCTTGCTCTGAGCCAGCTCCAGATGAGGGCTCTGGAATCCTCTCCACGGTGGCTGACATGAGTGGTAATGGGAGTGTGCTGGGCGGCAGAACTCAGCTCCCTCCCCTGGACTCAGAGCCCTGGGATTAGTGTCCTGGGGGAGGCTGAGGAGCCTTTGACACTGTGGCTCTGCCCTACTGATTCTGATTCCCAGTCCTCCCTCCTGGTGGCAAGCAGGCCTGGATGGCCTCTCTGCTGCTGCTGGGCCTTGGCTTTCTATCTCCTCCCTTGTCTGTTTCAGATCCCTGCCGCCCAGGTGTCACTTGTTCTGTTTGGGGGAAAAGTATCTGGGGCGGCTGCTGATCCTGTGGCTGGGTTCTTCATCAATAGAAGCAGGAGGACAGGGTCTGGACGGCTCATGCCTTGGTGAGCAAACCCTCGGTTCTTAGATCCAGGCACCAGACCCTGGCCCTGAGGTCACTGTCACAGCGCTGCTTCCTAGTGGAAACCCTCTGGGTGGTTAGAAGACAAGACTGGATAATGTCGCAGTGCACTGGGGACTGGCTGTGAGTGATAAGGAGTTCAGAGACATTCTTGGGGACTCTCCCTCTCCAGATGGCACAGGGCTGGATGAAGCCTCCGAGACTCCCAGATCTGGCCTGGGGCTCTGAGTGTGGGCAGGCTGGGCTGGAGGCCGCATGAGGCCTCACAGAGGAAATGCAACGCAGTGTCCCAGTGTCCACACAGGGAGTGGCACCACTGGCACCGAGTATGCAGCTGGAATTCCCACAAGGAGTGGCTGCACACTCCCAATGCCTCCATGAGCCACGGGTCACTTCTCCCCTGCCTGTGGTTCCCACCCAGGGAGCCCCAGCCTATGGATTCCCAAGGGGCAGAAAAGGGGTGAGGTTGCTCCAGGCTGGGCCCTTTGTGTCCCTCTGTCCTGGTCTGGGGACCGCTCCATCTCAGCTGTGCTTCCACAGGGTGCTGGGCTGCACCCCCTTCATCGCCCTGGCCTACTTCTTCCTGTGGTTCCTGCCCCCCTTCACCAGCCTGCGAGGCCTCTGGTACATGATCTGCTACTGCCTGTTCCAGGCCCTGGCCACGGTAAGCAGAGCCCCTTCCTGGGCGTGTGGTCTGGTGAAGCCCATGGCTGGCTGTGGCCACTCTGAAGTGTGCCATGGGGTGGGGCCGCTGCCTTTCCCACCCACCTGTGCCTGGACCATGCTGTTGGCTCTCGTCGGCCCTGTGCTGGGGCTGGCTGCTGCCTCCTGCCCTTGAGCCCCTAGATCCGACTTCAGGTGGTCAGCTGGGATATGTCAGGCTGGCCCGTGGGTACCAGGATGTGACACCCAGGAGAGGGGAGGTTGGCCGCTGTCACCAGGCAAAGCTGGGTGTGGTTCTAAGCTCTGTTGGTGCTCCAGTTCTTCCAGGTGCCCTACACAGCGCTCACCATGCTGCTAACCCCCTGCCCAAGGGAGCGGGACTCAGCCACTGCCTACCGTGAGTGCAGCCCTGGGTTCTGGGGAGGGCACTGCATCTGGGACCCCACACCCTCTCAGTCACCTTAAGCGGCGCTCTGTCTCTAGGGATGACCGTGGAGATGGCGGGAACACTGATGGGGGCCACCGTCCACGGGCTCATTGTGTCTGGTGCTCACAGACCCCACAGGTGTGAGGCCACTGTGACCCCGGGGCCGGTCACTGTCTCCGCCAGTGCAGTAAGTGCATGGGTGGCCAGGACCCGCAACCTGGTGTCCCCTCTGCAGGTCACCTCCTTCCTCTAGGGTTGGTTCTCCTGTCCACTCCCCTTTGCTGTCTTTTAGGGGACTCACTGTGTCCCCTCACTCCTTCCCTGCTCCTCCAGCTGAGCAGATGGCCCCCACATCTAACGTCCTCTGCTAAACCTGCCTCCTCCTAGGTTCCTTCTAGACATAAAATAGAACAACAGACACTGGGCTGGCCACCTGGAGTAGAGGAGCCTGGCCCCAGAGGAGGGGCAAGGGTGGGGAAAGCCCCAGGCCAGGCTGGGGGAGGGGCAGCAGAGGGGTCTGGTATCCTCACACAGCCCTGGGTAAAGCCCCTCCTATGACATGTGTCCCCTCCCCAGCCCTGACCAGGTGAGCCCCCAACCCCCAGCATGAAGTGGTGAAATGAGAGGGGAAGCCCCCTTCCTTCCCTTTCACAGCAGGTCCCTTCAGCATTGAGCAGATGCACCTCTATTTTATCCACCACTTTTACCTTCTCTTTTTCTATTTCTCCCTCTTTCCTTAAGTAAATGACATTATTATCTCCCATCACTGTCCTCTTTCTTCTGTCCTCTCTCAACCCTCCAACCTATACTGAATTGTGCCCAGTTTTTAGGCCAAAAGTCTTCTGAATACATCCAGCCTCCCTGCACCCCACTGCCAGGCCCTAGACCGTGCCGCCCACCTCCCTCCCCACCCCACAACTGCTGCCTCCATCTCCTGTGCAGCATCCCTCCCTGCAGCCACCTACTCTGCACGGTCAGGTGCCCTTTGAAAGGAGTTTGAGCATGGGTGGCCCTCACCTTCAGGATGGGGCGCAGGCACCCTCCGCAGCCTTCATGTAGACCTGCCCTCTGTGTGCCCTGTGCCCTGCGGTGTTGGCATTTTTTTTTTTTTTCAGACAGAATCTGGCTCTGTCACCCAGGCTGGAGTACAGTGGCGTGCCCGGCCTGTGCTTGTTTTTAACATTTCAGATTTACACAAGGGCAGAAAGCCACAGATCTTAGTGTGGTCCCTGGACCAGCAGCATCAGCAACACCTGGGACCTTGTTAGAATGGCAGATCTCAGGCCTGACCTCAGTGCTCTCCTTCACCAGTTCTAGAGACCAGTCTAGCATCTCTATGTTAACAAGCCCTCTGGGGGATTCCACCCCCACCAATGTCTCAGCATCAGTAGTATGAGAAGAATACCAGTAACATCTATGGCCCACCACCCATTTAAGAAAACATTATAGACAGGTGCGATGGCTCACACCTGCAATCCAGCATTTTGGGAGGTTGAGGCAGGTAGATCATTTGAGGTCAGAAGTTCGAGACCAGCCTGGCCAACATGGTGAAACCCCATCTCTACTAAAAATACAAAAATTAGCTGGGCATGGTGGTAGGCACCTGTAATCCCAGATACTGCGGAGACTGAGGCAGGAGAATCACTTGAACCCAGGAGGCCAAGGTTGCAGTGAGCTGGATGACACTCAGTCAGCTACTCAGCTTGACTATGTACTCTGCAAAATGAAAATGCAGGGCCTCGTGAAGTCAATCTCCCTCCCCTTTTCCAGTGGGCCTACTGCCTCAGCCAGGGGATTGCAGCCACCAGCGCTGGCACCCTCTAGGTGTCCTCTAAACACCTGGATTGGGATAGGTGTGAGGCCCCCACTCTCCAAATCTACATGCCAGAAGGCTGCATCCTAGACTGACTGTCCCTGTACTCACGCCTGGGCCTCCACTCGGGCCTTCCATGCCTCTCTCCAATGCCACGTGCTTGGTGACAACAGCCTAGGTTGGGGAAGGGAGGGTATCAAGGAGTGGGAAGCAGGAGGCTAAGAACCTATTCCCAGGGGGCAGAGCCTCATGTGAGCAGAGACTGGAAGCTCTTGGTGGCTCACAACCCACTGTTTCACTTACAAAATTCAAATCCATGATAAAATTATTAAGAATCTCAAGACAGCAACAGCAGAGCATTGAAGCCCAGAGGCAGTGCCCTTCAGAGCAAGAGGCCCAGGGAGGCCACACAGGATGAGTGCCCTGCCCCGCCCTGCACCCTCTCTCTGCTCCCTCCCCAGAGGCAGCCTCTGTCCTGAACTGGCTGTGACTCTCCTGCATATCTTTTTTTTTGTGTGGGGAGGGGAACAGAGTCTCCCTCTGTCACCCAGGCTGGACTGCAGTGGCACAATTTCAGCTCACTGCAACCTCCGCCTCCTGGATTCAAGCAATTCTCCTGTCTCAGCCTCCTGAGTAGCTGGGATTACAGGTGGCTGCCACCACGCCTGGCTAAATTTTTGCATTTTTAGTAGAGATGGGGTTTTACTATGTTGGCCAGGCAGGTCTCAAACTCCTAAACTCAGGTGATCCACCCATCTCGGCCTCCCAAAGTGCTGGGATGGCAGGCATGAGCCACCGCACCTGGCCCTGATTCCTACGTTAATCTGAGTCAGCATGCATCTCAGTGTTGTAACTGCCTGCTCCTGGATCTGTCTTCCTCTCCACACTCTGAGCCCTGTGGATGGACAGGGGTCACTTACTCATCATTGGAGCCTCAGGGGCTAGCATGCAGAAGGCAGCAGCAATCAATGTTTGCTTCATAGAATGCAGGAGGGAGAATTCTATGAATTCTATGAGGGTCAGCGCCCTCTTTGCCACGCAGGAAACACAGGGTCAGCAGAGGGGGTGCATGGAACAACCAGCCCAGGCCCAGAGAGCAGGCTGTCTTGTGGGGTGATTGGGAGGTAGGGGCTTCGGCTGTGCCTCGCTCTGCTCCTGTGGGGAGGCAGTCCTGCCCCGCCCCTCGGGTGTCGACACCTCCCGGGATTGAAGACCTACCCTAGTCCTGTCATGTCCCACAGGCCCATCTCTACTGCATTGCAGCTGCTGTGGTTGCAGCAACTTACCCCGTGTGCAGCGGTTTACTGTGCCTAGGGGTGAAGGAGCGGCCAGGTATGGGGATGGGGAAGAGGGAATCAGAAGCTGGGGCGGGGCTCTACTCGGGAGCGGGGCTTTACTCAGGGGCGGGGCTCTACTCAGGGGCGGGTTTTGGTTTTGGACTCTGGGAAGCCAAGGTGCCACCCTCCTGCATTGCAGACCCCTCTGCTCCAGCCTCAGGCCCAGGCTTGAGCTTCCTGGCTGGGCTGGGTCTCACTACCCGGCATCCCCCCTACCTGAAGCTGGTGGTCTCCTTCCTGTTCATCTCTGCTGCTGTTCAGGTACCTCTGGCCAGTGGCCCCCCGACTGGCTTGGCACTGGCCATGCTGACCTTGCATAGGTTCAGGGTGCAGTCTCAGCTTGAGTTTTATAGGGAGAAACCTGCAGCTGGAACATGGCTCAGAGGGGCTGGTGCTGGGGGGGAGATCCCAGAAGGGCTTGTGAGATTGGAGGGCCAGGGCCTAGGCACTAGGAGATGACAGTGTGTGGTCAGTTTCCTCTCACGTTACCTGAGGCAAAGTCAAGTCTACCTGATCATAGCTGTGCAGGTGATGAGGGTGGCCTAGGGGTGGTGCTGATTTCTGTGTTGGGGATAGGCGCCCTTTGTGGGGGAAGGAACTGCATGATGGCAGCAGCAATCCAAGGCCCCAACAGAGAAGCCAGACTCGAGACCTGGTCCTCGCCCTTGACTTCTGAGCTCCTGCCATGCCCACTTCCTGTTCATCTCCTCAGGTGGAGCAGAGCTACCTGGTCCTGTTCTGTACACATGCCTCCCAGCTACACGACCACGCCCAGGGCCTGGTGCTAACTGTCCTGGTGAGGGGACCTGGGGTGGTGGAGGCTAGGTCACTTGGGGGCCTGAGCTGGGGACGTGTGGTCCTTGATGTGATACATATGGCCAGAATTCTGGTCATCAACATTTTGGACTTTGCTTTGGTCTTGGTCACCCGCATTCCAGCAGAGGGTAGAATTGGGACCAGGATTATAACATTCATAGCCACTGGTTTGAACCGGGGCAAGGCCAAGGTCAGGTGTCCCACCTAAAAGCCAAGGCCTCAAGGTCCTGGGTGAAGGTGCTGGCAGCACGACCCTGGCATGACGACGCTGTCTACTCACAGGTCTCGGCTGTGCTGAGCACCCCGCTGTGGGAGTGGGTTCTCCAGCACTTTGGGAAGACAACATCAGCCTTCGGGATCTTTGTGAGTGAGACAGGAATCAGGGATTGGGGGTGGTGGCAGGAGAGAGGCGGGGCGGTGACCGTGGTGCCTGAACCTCCTGGGGTCAGCAGGAGTGGGTTTGTGTTCCCCTGAGTTTTCAGGGCCTAGCACAGGGCGAAGCATGGGGGTCATCAGTCTAGAGCCATGTGTGAAAGAACAGGCCGGACAGCTGGTGTGTGTGTCTCCCCAGGTGATGGTGCCATTTGCGATCTTGCTGGCCGCTGTGCCCACAGCACCTGTGGCTTATGTCGTGGCCTTTGTATCTGGCGTGAGCATTGCTGTGTCCTTGCTGCTACCCTGGTAGGCTGGGTGTGGGGGCCTCACATGTGTCCATAGAGGGTGTCTCCTCCTTCACATCAGCCTGCTGTCCCAGGCCCCCTGTGCCCAGCTGGGCAGGAGATGGAGCCCTCCTGAGAGGGCAGCAGACAGTAGGAATGGTGGGGGTACAAGCACACAGGCCATCTGCTTCTCTGGCAGCAAGTCTGGTGCTGGGCACAGGAACTCAGGGATGAATCCACCTTGGTCTCTGCCCCAGAGAACTCACAGGCTGCTGGTGGCCAAGGGGCTAAGAGGGCTAACTCCACGCTGCCACCACAGGTCCATGCTGCCAGACGTGGTGGATAACTTTCAGCTGCGGCACCGCTATGGGCCAGGCCTGGAGACCATCTTCTACTCCTCCTATGTCTTCTTTACCAAGCTGTCCGGCGCGTGTGCCCTGGGCATCTCCACCCTCAGTCTGCAGTGAGTCCCAGGGTTAGGATATAGCAGAGGCAGCAAGGACCACTGGGCGGCAAGAAGGCAAAGCCCCCATCCTACTGAACTCAGGGCACCTGTGCGTCTGAGGCCTGAGCTCTGCTCTTTGAAGACTGTGGGGAACTACTTCCCCAGGTTTCCCTGTGCACAGGACTGCGAGGGCCAGCTCTCCACATTCTCAGTTCCCTCCAGACTCTCCCAGGTCAGCCCGTCCCCTCGACACTCCTCTCTTGATCTGGCCAGGAAATGAAGTCCAAGTTTCAGGAGGGGGTGTCTGGGGTCCCTCCACCCAGGGTGCCAGGCTCGGTAAGGCCCTGCCCTAATGGCTGGGTGATTTTCTCCAGGTTCTCGGGGTACAAGGCAGGGGCCTGCAAGCAGGCGGAGGAGGTGGTGGTCACCCTCAAGGTCCTCATCGGTGCCGTGCCCACCTGCATGATCCTCACTGGGCTCTGCATCCTCATGGTTGGTTCCACTCCAAAGACGCCCAGCCAGGATGCCTCCCGCCGGCTGAGCCTTCGGAGGTGGGCCCCACATGCCCCCTGCACCCGGGGAAGCACAGTGTATGCTGACAGGGGAATGACTAACACCAGCCTGTGGATGCCCCTGCTGTGTCACACAGCCTGACGGTCCTGCCTCTGGGACACTCTTTCCTTAGCTCAGGGTCACCCTTTTCTCCTGGATTCTCTTCTACCCTGGCCCCCCCTTCTCAGACCTCTTCCTTCGGTCACATGGTGGACTGTGGTATGTGAGGGCTCCCTCCTAGACCTCATATTGGTTTTGCTGTCTAAAGCCCCCTAGGTACGTTATCTGCTAGCCTGACCCAACTCAGGCACCCCTTATGCCTGGGGACTCCCAGAGCTGCCCTCCACCCTCCACCCTGGGCTTCCCCCAAGTTCCAGAACCGTACGTTGCCGGTGTGTGGATGTTTCTACCTAGTAGCCCACAAGCATGGCACTCAGTCTGGATGAGCCCTGAACAGAACTCATCTTGTCCCCTAACTGGCTCCTCCTTCTGTGTCCCTGTCTTGGGGAATGGCACCATTGTTCCCCCTCAGGTGGAAGCCTAGGAGTCTTTTGCCTTCCCTCCCATGGGCAGGGCTGAGCAGCTCTCTGACCTGGTCCTTCCCTACCAGAGTACCAACCCCACTGATGGGGAGGATCTACTCACTGCCTGACCTTTCGAGGAGGCTATGGGGACCTTGAAGGCTGGAGCTGTATTTTATTCCTTTTGTACCTTAAGAGCCCAGCACAGAGCCCAAGGCCAAGCAGGCACTCAGGAATCACCGCTGCAGCCTCACCACGTCTGGCCCAGCAGACATTCATGAGCATGCAATGTTCACACACGGAAGGTCCATGAGCAGGCACACATCACACAGGCCCACACAGGACAGGCAGTGTGGGTGGTCTTGTCATCAGCTGCTCCCTGCTCAGGGTGACGGCCTTGGGCTCTGCTCTGCAGCAGAGAGATACTGAGGTCACGCTTCCCAGTCAGGGAGGGCCAGGCAATGGGTAACTGCTTGATGGCACTTGGAGAAGTAGGGTCGTAGCTTATTTACAGGACCTGGAGGGGAGGAGCTGAAGAGGAGTTGCTGGGAAGACAAGGAGCAGCCACCAAACCTCCGTGGGGTTCTGTAACAGGACAGAGGCCCAGCAGCACTTCCATCCTTCTCCTTGGCTTCCCCAGGAGGACCAGCTACAGCCTGGCTTAAAGCTTGGGAGAGCCACTGTGAATGGATACAGGAGCCAGCATCCTCAGGGCCTGACGTTACCCTCCTCAGCCCTTCGGCACCCAGCCTGGCAGTTTAGCATGCGGCCTTTTTTTCCCCTGGAATGTGGAGTCTTCGGCGATTTGTTCTGACTGGACCAGCCTATGCTCCGGGACCCCCACTTGGCATTTCTTGTCTGCTGCAGTCAGACCATCTCAGATAGGCCTGTGCCCCTGACTAGCCCCACAGCACCTGTCTCTGGAAAAAGGAAGCCCCTGCCCAACCTGGCTCGTGGACCCTGTGGGAGCCCCAGGCCCAACAACCTGCGTGGATGGCAAAGCTCCCCAACAGGACACACACAGGACTCTCGTTTGTCCCAAGGCTCCAGTAGACATCTGTTGAGGACACAGAGAGGTGAGAGACCATGTGGATGGGCAGAGTGGGGACATGCCGGAGATGTACGATTAGGGAGACACAGACAGACTGAGGGAGGCCGGCGGGCCCCAGGGAGACCGAGACAGCAGTGCGGGGGGACTGAGCAGGGCCGGGTGCTGAGGTGCTCCTCAAGCCTCTTCACGTTGCCATCCATTAATGTGACTCTTTCTGTCAGGATCAGAAATGGCTATCGAGCCAGCAAAGATCCATCATTTTTACAAATAAAAGCTATTTGTGTAGAAAGATTGTTCTGAAATTTTATCTTTAAGAGCACAGGAACTACAGTGTTTTAGGGGCCACATCTTTGGGGAAGAAAGATCCACTGAGGTTTATTTTTTTCAAAAACAAATTCAGGGGTTGATCTGCTATTGAGTCTGTGCAATGTGACCGTGGACCACCCTCTCCTATCTGGAATCCCCAGAGAAGGGAAAGGGGAGAAAGCGTGATGCCCTTGAACCTGGCTGCTCCCCCAACCACACACCCCTGACTTGCATGTCCTTAGACCAGTGACACCATGTGGGAGGGGGCAGGTTCCTCCTTCCCTTTAGAGGAGACAAAAAGTTGAGGCTCTAGAGTGGCTTGAAGAGCAGGCCACCAAGGTGGCTCATGGGGGCTGGGGGAAGGGCTGGGGAACTTGATGCTCCAACAACTCCTGCCTGGAGAAGTCTGGCACCCAAACAGGGGACCTGGAGGTGCAGACTTGCCCCTACATTTCTCCCCAGCCCCCAGCCTTTCCTCCTCCATGGAGTCAGCTCTCCTGAGCCCATGTCCCACAGCTAGGCCCCCCTCCACTCTTGAGATCTTCAGCTGTCTCTTGGGAGCAATCCCCCTGAGGCCTAGAACTTAGGTTTGTCCTTAGATATGACACAGTCCTCAGAGCTGAAAGCATCTCACTGCCTCCACAAACACTTCGGCAGAAGGAACCTGACCTCACCCGAAGCTTGTGGGGTCTGACCTGGTCTTTCTGATGCCTCAACTCTCTGGCCCTTGTGACACTGGCATGAGTGTCTGGTTCCTGAGGTTACAAGGCACCAGAGAAAGAGCTGGGCTCAGTTTCTCTGCATTGCCCCTTCTGACAGGAAGCTCTGCCTTCCCCTACTCGGTATGGATACAGACACACACACGCGCGCACACACACAAGCAAGCACACATGCAAGCTACTGAAAACAGGAGAGAACAGTTTAGTAATACCGGGATATCATGGGTCATGTGGAGACAGTACCCAGTAAGACAGAAGGCAATGTAGTTTCCACCATGTTATCGTTTTATGTCATGCTTGTATTTTTGGTAGAGATGGGATTTCACCATGTTGGCCAGGCTAATCTGGAACTGATCTGACCTTGGGTGATCCGCCTTCCTCAGCCTCCCAAAATGCTGGATTACAGGCGTGAGCCACTGCGCCTGTTTATGGCTATAGATCCTCAGTGCCCAGAAGTAAATGTACAATATGAAAATCTGCTGAATGAACGAGCAAATGTTCCTCTTCCCTTCATCCTACAACAACCACCACCACCTTTTACTTGTTCCGGTTGCTTTCTCCTCTCCAAATAGTCTGCTCTACTGTTCTCCTCTCACCCCTCCCATTCTTATCTCCTTTTCCTCACCTGCTATTCACTCCTTAACCAGTTAAACCTGGCGGTGGCCTCCAACACCGAGGAGACCGTGCAGCCTAGCATCAAAGGACAGCAGATGAGAATCTGTATGTTGCTTCCCTCTTTCACCATGCATGATTGGTTGACTTACTCAACAAATCTGAGCCTCCATTTCTTTTTTCTGTTTTGAGACGGAGTCTTGCACTGTCTCTTAGGTTGGAGTGCAGTGGCGTAATCTCGGCTCCCTGCAACCTCCCCCTCCCAGGTTCAAGTGATTCTCCTGCCTCAGCCTCTAGAGTAGGTGGGATTACAGGCACACGGCACCACACCTGACTAGTTTTTTGTACTTTTAGTAGAAACAGGGTTTCACCATGTTGGCCAGGCTGGTCTTGAACACCTGACCTCAGGTGATCTGCCCATCTTGGCCTCCCAAAGTGCTGGGATTACAGGTGTGAGCCACTGCGCCCAGCCAGTTTCTTCTTTTTGAACAAATGTGTACACTATTACATAAACCTCAGGATGGCTATGAGATAAGACTTGATCTAGTACCAGACCAAGGAAATCCTCAGTCAACAGTCAATTAATGCTGACCACTCCTTTTCAAAACTCTATCTTGGGCCAGGCATCCCATCTCTACTAAAATATAAAAATTAGCCAGGCATAGTGGCACATGCCTGTAATCCCAGCTTCTCAGGAGGCTGAGGCAGGAGAAGCACTTGAACTTGGGAGGCGGAGGTTGCAGTGAGCTGAGATCATGCCACTGCACTCTGGCCTGGGCAACAGGATGAGATGCCGTCTCAAATAAAAAACAAACAAAAATCAATCAACGAGGAGACAGAAGTCCGGTTCAAATCTGTTCTTCCTGTGCTGGTCTTAAGGTGGTCCTTTTATGATATAAGATTTAGAGGGTGGGTTCTGGAGTTAGCAGGTGATTGGTGGAAGGAAAGGGGAGCTCTGGAACATCTCCGGACATGCACACTTGTCTCTTCATGGGTTGCATGTGCAAATTTCAGGGGAAGTTAGTATGAAACGTGGTGGAAATTCAGGCTGTGACATCAGTAAGCGTGTTCTGTGCAAACTCTAATCAGACAACTGATTTCAGCCAGTTTTGTTATCTTACAAGTGGAGAAAGTTTCAGCAAGCTGTTTCTTTTCTTTTTTGAGACCGGGTTTCACTCTGTCACCCAAGCTGGAATGCAGTGGCATGATCTGTTCACTGTAACCTCTGCCTCCCAGTTTCAAGCAATTCTCCTACCTCCACTGCCCAAGTAGCTGGGATTACAGGCGTGCGCCATTATGCCCAGCTAATTTTTTTTTTCTTTGAGATGGCATTTCACTCTGTTGCCCAGGCTGGAGTCCAGTGGCGTGATCTCAGCTCACGGCAACCTCTGCCTCCCGAGTTCACGCGATTCTCCTGCCTCAGCCTCCTGAGTAGCTAGGATTGCAGGAGCATGCCACCACACCCAACTAATTTTTGTATTTTTAGTAGAGATGGCGTTTCACCATGTAGGTCAGGCTGGTCTCGAACTCCTGTCCTCATGATCCGCCCACCTTGGCCTCCCAAAGTGCTGGGATTACAGGTGTAAGCCACTGCGCCCAACCCCCCAGCTAATGTTTGTGTTTTTAGTAGAGATGGGGTTTCACACAGTGTCGGCCAGTCTGGTCTCAAACTCCTGACTTCAAGTGATCTGCCCACCTTGGCCTCCCAAAATGCTGGGATTACACATGTAAGCCACTGTGCCCCGCTCTGTTTCTTTTTGTATCTGCCATCTTATACGCTCAAGAATTATTTTGAAGGCTAGGTGCAGTGGCTCATGCCAGTGATCTCAGCACTTTGGGAGGCTGAGGCAGGCGGATCTCCTTTCTCCTTGATTAGCTCCAACAGACCCCACTGTCTCATCCCTGTATGTACTGAGTGTGGATTGAGCAAAGACAAGGGGAGTATTTGGCCACAGCACCCTGAACGTGCCCAGTCTAGTCTGATCTTGGAAGCTAAGCAGGGTTGGGCCTGGTTAGTACTTGAATGGGAGGAAAACAAGGGTTATAGTTTGTGGATTAACAAATGGTGAAAGTTATTCGAAACTGGACAGAAAGTTGTAACATCACATATGGATGAATATGGCTTATAACACATGGTGAGCTGACATCGTTGGCTGCTATGTTTGAGGTATATGCACTTCTGTAGTCTATGGGACTCAGTTCAGCTGGGTAGTTTTCTGTTACTCTGTGTGTGTGTGCATGTGTGTTCTGTAGAGACAGGATCTCTCACTTTGTTGCCCAGGCTGGTCTTAAACTCCTGGCCTCAGGTGATCCTACTACCTCAGCCTCCTGAGTAGTTGGGATTACAGACACAAGTCCCCGTTCCCAGCTCCAGTGTTTCTTAAGGAAAAAACTGTTGTATAAGTAACAGGAAATTCACAATATGCTGTACTCATTCTCTATTATCACAGCCATTTTGGAATAAGTTTGGGTTTTCAAAACAAGCATAATTAACAGAAACAAAAACAGTTTCTCCTTTTAGTTTCATAAATATTAAAGGAATTAACATATATGTGTATGTATATAAATATATAGAAATCCTAAATGGTCCCTGTCACATAAGAAATACATATGTGGTCTCTGCCCCAGGTTCCTGGCACAGAGTTTCTAAAATGCGGGTTACTTCCTAAGTGTTAGGGGTGAAGGGAACATCTTTTGTTATATATAATAAGCGCTTTTCAAACAGATCTGAGTTTATGCTAATGATGTGACTAGTAGAGGATGGAGGCTGGTTGCCAGAGAAACCAACCTTGTGATCAGAAGATTGAAACTTTCAGCCTTATCTCCCTAAGGGGTAGGGACAGGGGCTGAAGACTGAGCTCATCACCAATGATTTAATCAATTGTGCCCATGTAATGGAGCCTCCACTTCCAAATGAAGGGGTTCAGAAAGCTTCTAGGCTGGTGAACACATCCATGTGCCAGGAGGTCTACCCAACTCCAAGGGAACAGAAACTCTTGTGTATGGGACCCTTCTGGACTTCATGCTATGTACCTCTTCATCTGGCTGTTCATTTCATAATAAGCCAATAAATGTTAAGTAAAGTGTTTCTCTGTGTTCTATGAACCATTATAGGAAATTATCAAATCTGAGGAGGGTTTCCTAGGAATCCCCTATTTGCAGCCAAGCTGGAGAGAAGTGTGCATCACCTGGAAACCCACTACTTGCAACTGGTATCAGAAGTAGGGACCAGTCCTGTTGGACTGAGCCAACCTATTGGGTCTGCAGTAACTCTGGGTAGTGTCAGAATTGAATTAAATTGTAGTGGGGTGCACGGGAGATGGAAAAAAAAGAGAAATTGTAGGGTACCCAGTTCATGTCCACAGAGAATTGAAGAATTGCTTGGTGTGGAAAACCTGCACATTTGATGTCAGAAGCGTTCTGTAGTTATAGAAAAAAAGTTTCTCCTTTTAGTTTCATAAATCTTAAAGGAATTAAATATTTAAAAATATTTCCACAAAGAAAACACCAGACCCAAATTTTTCTAAGTTCTAGCAAACTTTCAATCAAGGATCATTCGTACCTCATACAAACTCCTCCACAGAGCAGAAAAAGAAGGCACCCTCTGCTACTCATTCTATGAGCCCAGAGTAAGCTTCTTACCAAAACCAGCCAAGCACATTAAAAAGGAAAGAGGCCAGGTGTCATGGCTCACACCTGTACTCCCAGGACTTTGGGAGGCCACGGCGGGAGGGTCATTCGAGCACAGGAGTTCAAGAAAAGCCTGGGCAACAAAGGGAAACCCATCTCTACAAAAAAAATTTTTTAAATTAGCTGTGTGTGGTGGCATGCATCTGTTGTCCCAGCTAATTGGGAGGCTGAGGAGGGAGGACTTCTTGAGCGCAGGAGGTTGAGGCTGCAGTTAGCTGTGATAGTGCCACTCACTCCAGCTTAGGCAACAAAGCAAGCCTGTCTCAAAAATAAAAATAAAAATAAAGGGCTGGGCGCAGTTGCTCACGCCTGTAATCCCAGCACTTTGGGAGGCATGAGGTCAGGAGTTTGAGACCAGCCTGACCAACATAGTGAAACACCGTCTCTACTAAAAATACAAAAACGAGCCAGGCATAATGGCATGAGCCTGTAATCCCAGCTACTCAGGAGGCTGAGGCAGGAGAATGGCTTGAACCCAGGAGGTGAAGATTGCAGTGAGCTGAGATTGTGCCATTGCACTCTAGCCTGGGAAATAGAGCAAGACTCTGTCTTAAAAAAAAATAAAAATTAAAAAGGGAAATTTATAGGTTAATCTTACCTATTAACAAGGAAAGGAAGAATCTTACACAAAATAATAGCAAAATGAGTCTAGCAATGTATAAAAATGAAATACACCATGAACATACTGGGTTTATTCCAAGAATGCAAAGTTTAACATTAGAAAAACCTATCAAATGAAATGTACCACACAGAACAATGCAGAGCATGAACTCAGGAGCTCTGCAGAGGGGCCCCTCAATTATCAGCAGAGGCTGGGCTCAGTGGCTGACCCCTATAATCCCAGCACTTGGCAAGCCAAGGTGGGCAGATCACTTGAGATCAGGAGTTTGAGATCAGCCTGGTCAATATGGTGAAACCCCATCTCTACTAAAAATACAAAAATTAGCCAGGTGTGGTGGCAGGTGTCTGTAATCCCAACTATTCAGGAGGCTGAGGCAGGAGAATGGTTTGAACCTGGGAGGTGGAGGTTGCAGTGGGCCGCGATTGTGCCAATGAACTCCAGCCTGGGTGACAGAGCAAGACTCTGTCTCAAAACAACAACAACAACAGCAGCAACACGCCAAACAAATAAAATTATCCAGCAGAATACTAATTAAAGACATAAATGTGAAGACAAAACTTCCATAAAAGTAAAGACATTCCATAAATGTGTGGCTTCCTTAATATT